CGCTCCCCCTGGGCCTTTTGTCGTCCCCCTGGCTCTGGCCTGTTTCTCTCTTCCTCAGTGCTCATCGCCATTCACGAAGTCTGTCTCACACAACAGGATGCCCCTCTCAAGGGCAGCGCCGCTTCCACTGTGGATGCAGTAGGCACTTATCATTTGCAGAAGGAACGGGTGTGAGGGAGAGGAGGGCGGAGCCCTGGGCCGTGCCCTCACCTCCATGTACATCCTCTGGGAGTATTTCTCCATGACCAGGGGGTCGATGGGCTCCTGAGACGCGACGATGATGTCAGGGGCAGGGTCCTCCACGTAGAGCCTGTCCCGACTGGAAGATTTCGTAGGTTTCTTGTCGTCCTTTGCCTTTGGCTTCTTGCTGTTCAGACGGTCCTGCTTGGAGAGAGGAGACACGCGTCGCCTTCGTGAGCTCCGGAGGGAGGTCCCGGGCCTGCTCCAGAACGGCTCACTGCGAGAGCCCCTTGTCGCCCCCCGGGCCAGACCGTGTCCCGGAACCTGCCTCTTTCCCTGGCGTCTTGGCTGCTTTCTTATCTTCTTTGTCTTTGACTCCCAACTGCTTCCTTTCCTGGGCCACCCCTTTCCGGTCCTCCTTCCCAGCTCTCCCGGAAGCTACCTTTGTCTCTATGGCGGAAGGTGTTTTCCGAGCTGAGGGAGGTGAATGGAAGACAGTGTGGACTGTGGCCTGGCTGCGCCCATAGGCGGGAGTCAGGAAAAGCCCAGTGCTCTCGGCAGCCTGGAGAGAATTCCCACAGACGAGGAGCAGAGCCCCGGGTTCAGGGGTGGACGGATGGCCCTGTGGAACGGGACTGTGGGGCAGGGGCAAGGGGCCTGCGTCTCGTCCCGGCTCCGCCACTCCCACATGGACGGCTCGGGCAAACCCTTTAATCCTCCTGAGATGCCATCTGTAAAACGAGGGACAGGAACCCCGGTGATACTAAGGTCACTTCTGGGTTCCAAACCTTGGCAACAGATGAAAGGGGAGCAGGGGCCTACTCCAAGGATCAACAGAGGTCCCCCCAGAGGGGGTGCAGGGCGGAGGCAGCGGGACGGGGAAGACTGCGCGCAGGCAGGCGGCGCAGAGTCTGACCGAGCTCTTCCGGCACGTCCAGATAGATGGTCTCCTTCTCAGGCAGGCCCAGCAGAGCCCTCAGCCACAGGGAGTGGCTCACCAGGCCGTCAATCAAGTCCCGCCACAGCTGAAAACTAGAGGACAAGACACACTGGAGAGAAGCCATCGCCCTTCATTTGCCCTGGAACCTGCAGAGGTTTCGATCCTTCCCTTCCAAGACACTGGTGCCAGGAGCTGCCAGGGACATGCCATGCCCCTGTCCAGCCAGCATCCTCACCAGCACCTGGGCAAGCGTTTGAAACCATGGCTGGACCTTGATCGAGATTCCCAGCTCCAGGCTCCCAGGGATGTGTTCTGAGGGCCTTGCGAAAACTTAGCCCCACCCCCACCCCCCACCCCAAGCCTTTCCACACAAGTTCCAAACCGGCGACAGGAAGGCCGATAACCGAGAAGTGAGGCTTTCTGTGGAATACGCCCCTCTTCTCACCGCCCTCTGGCTTCTCCTCCGTTCATTCCTCTGCTCGTTGAGAAGGAACAAAGGATGGGAAAAAAATGAAGGTCCGGGTGCTTGCTCCGCTGTAACGGCTCCACAAGGAGCAGCAGGTGGCTGCAGGGGCGGCTGCGGCAGGGGCCGAGCACGGACTGTGGGGGCATCTTTCGGGGGCCTGAGCTCAGGGGAGCTCCGCACCCTTGCATGCTGGGACTGCCTGCGTAGCACCCTGGCCCGATGCCACGGAGGGGAGGAGATGAGGCTGGCTCGCCTGGTGGGGCACCTACCACATCTGGTACAGGAAGTCAGACTGCAGTGGCCTCTGTCCCTGGCACAGCTCCAGGGCTGCTCTGTTGAGCCTGATGAGGGCATCTTCTCTCTGGTTCTCCTCGGGGAGCATCATCACTTCCTGGCAGGGTCACAGGTACCATGAGCAACCCTTGTGCCCGGGACACCAAGGGTCCCCGTGTCCTCTAGTGACGGGGGTGGTGCTGTGAGGACAGGGGTGCGGGAGGCAATGTAGCCATGGGGAACCTGTCTGGGGTTGCCTTCCGTGGGAGCCTCGGGCCTCCTTCAGAAATCTGTTCCCACGAATCCCTTTTGCAAGGTGTGCCAGGATCAGAGAGGGAGCCCCTCCGGCACCACAGGGGCCTAGCCCCCTGAGACAGAAAGAGATGACCCCTGAGACGGCTCTCTCCGGGCCCTCGGAGGTTTTCTTTCTTGGCCCGTTGGGGCGAGAGGCGCTGCTGGGGCCCTCCCTCACCGCGCTGTGCCAGAGCTGTTTTCCCCACCCACGCCTTCCGCGTCAGGGACCCACCTCCCTGAAGTCCTCCAGGCAGAGGTTCCACTCGGGCGGCGGGAGGCCCGCCTGCTCCCAGCTCTTGGTGCTGTCCCAGTCCCGGCTGCCCTCCACCAGGATCTCCTCCATGATGCTCTTCCATGGAGAAGTCTTGGCCCCTACTCGGACCCTCTGGGGCCTGAAACCATCTTGGGATTCCTTGACGTACGCATTCTCCTGCTGGGGCTCCAAGGCGGAGCCCTTAGGGTAGGTCAAAGAGTCCACCTGCACCGGGGACTTGCTCAGATAGCCTGGCTGGGTCCTGGCCGCCCAGGCCGCCCAGGCCCGGGCGCCCACGTGCTCGTCGTCCTTCGGCCTGCCTTCCTCGGCCTTGTAGGGCAGGACCATGTACTGGTGCCACAGTATATGCAGGTTTTGCACTACTTGGTGCTGGTAATGCAGCTGCAGCGGAGGCGAGGGAAGGCACGTGACGGGGAGGCTGGGCTGGGGGGGCTGGGGGCACCCAGAGCCCGTGGACCTGGGCCGGTTTCCCCATTCCCTGAAGAGCACGGATGGAGGAGGCAGGGAAGGGACCAGCAGGAGTGGCTCTAGCCAGAGGATATCCCCTCTTCCCCCGCAACCTGAGCATCTCCAACTTCAAGCATTTTTTTTTGCATGTGAGCTTCCAAGTAACGTTGGGTTTGAACAAAGGAGTTGGTGAAACTGTTCTCACCAAGCATCCACTTAGGAGCTACGTGATCTTGGGCAAATTACTTAACCTCCTTCGGCCACCGTTCCCCCCAGGTAACATCGGATAGAAATAATGCCCATCTCCATGGGAACATGGAACGGACTGACGAGTCTCAGAGGGGAGGGGGTTGCAGGGGGAGGAGGGGGGTGAAGATATTAAAGATCTTATGTGCACATATGCATTACCTATGGGCACACACAATAGGGTGGTGAAGGCCTGGGGCAGGGCAGGAACTGGGTGGACAGGGGCAGTGGTGAGGGGGGAAGGGGGACATCTGTAATACTCTCAACAATAAAGTTTTTTTTTTTAGAAAAAAGAAGTAGTGCCCATCTCACAGGGCTGCTGGGAAGTGAAGTGAGTTTCTCATGGAAGACGCTCAGCACAGGTCCTGGCGCATGGGGTGGGGGTGGGGGGGTTGCTATTCCTCCCACCCAGGGCACTCACAGGGGCGGGGGCCAGTGCGGGGCTGTACCTGGGGGTTCCTGTGGTAGAACAAGTCCTCCTCCGTGAGGTAGGCGTCCACGGGCGACGGCACGCGCTCGGGGGTCAGGATGCCGCCCAGCAGCTCCTGCAGCATGCTCTGCGCGATGGTGACCGCCTCGTGGGAGGCCAGCTCCTTCTGGGGAAGGAAAGGTGGCACGAGACGACAGCTCAGGCCTTCGAAACCCATGCTGCACCCCAAGGGGAGCCAGGTTCCTCGGGGCTCTGTGCCTTCCTAGGGGTTGGGTTCCTGCCATTGTCACACACACACACACACACACACACACACACACGCACGCGCACACAACTATTCCCAGACTCAAAACTCCCTGGGTCTCCCCAAACATCCTTGCTCCCTAAAAGAGGCTGAAAGGATCCCGAGGAGGAACCAGTCCCAGAGAAGTTGCTCCCTCGAGGGGCCAGGAGGTCCGGCGGCATTTCCCATAGATTAGAAAGGCCAGGGCCGGGGCCAGGGGCAGCACGGTTTGGGCCTTGCTGGGCATGTGACTTGGCCACACAGCCAGTATCACAGAAACAGGATCATCTCGAGAGAGGCCAGTCCTAGACTAGCAAACAAAACAGACATTGCATGTGTCAAGATTATCTCTGATCGCCGCAGGCTGAGCCTCGGCCGAAGCAGCCGGGTCGTGTTTGGGGACCACAGTGAACAGAAAAGCACAGCTTTCCACGGAACCCCACAAAGAGCAACGCTGGGCGGCCAGGCGATGGACGCGGTGGGGGCCCAGCAGATGCCCAGTTCCCACCTCACACTCACTCCTGGGTGCCGGCCCCCCCCCCGCCCCCCTGGGTAAATTTTGCTCTCTGTGGTTTTGAAGTCTTGCCAGTTAAAGGCAACTCCACTGGAGGGTACCAAACAGCAGGGAACAAAAAGAGTACCCGGGTGAGGGTCGTTCCTTGGGTCTGTGCTCAAGTACTTCCACGCAGTCTGCACCTGAAGGCCCAGTCTCATCTCTTCCTGGCGGTGGGAGCCAGGCATGGTGGGGCTCAAAACCGCCCCACTCTTGCCTGCCCACCCATCTTTTACCTCACCTGGGAGGTGGTTTGTTGAGCAAGACTGGCCGAGAGAAACAAGACGCCTGCAGGCAGTGCTAGGAAGGACACCAGAGGGACCTCGCTGATGTCCACGCGGGGCCGAGGCCCCGGCTCCCTTACCTCCAGTAACGTCCTCTCATCCCTATAAATGTCCTGGGCCAGGGAGACTGCGTGGAGATTGACCTGCAGGATGGCACCCCCTAACAGGGTGGGGTGAGTTACAAACTCCCAAAATTCCCAGAAGATCCCAGCATTCACAGACTTGAAGAAGAAGGTGAAGGTCTTCGTTTCTCCCGGCAGAATCACACCTGAGGGGGCAGAGACAGAGGTGTGCACCGAGAAGGGGCTCTCTGAGCCCCCCGCCCGCGTGTCTGCAGGTGGCTGGGCCCTAAGCCTCTGGGGATAACGTGTAACTGAGCCCCAGGCAGGGTGACCCACCCTCCGGCTTTGCCCGGGGAGGAGGGCTTTCCTGGGTTGGGGGACTTTCAATGCTGAAACGGGAAAGCCCCCGAAACAGGCCCAGCTGGTCCTCCCAGCCTCGGGTCTGTGCAATGTACCTGAACCCCTAGAATGCTCCCCTTCCCCCGGGGCTCGCCTCCCTGCCCCCAACAGACATGAACAGTTGGGAGATAGCACGCATCACGGAGGAAATAGAAGGGAGGAGGCAGGGAAGAGGGGCTTGAACTCGCTAGACGTCCGCTTCTGGACATCAAGGTGGGTGGGGCCGCGCCTCCTAGGTACCTTCCCGGTTATTAAAGTAAAACTGCTGTGTCCTGTTTCTCTTCAGGTCTTGGAAAGCGTCCGGCTGGACCTGCCGCCGCCAGTCATACCAAATGGCCACGGTGCCGTTATTGACCACGGTCAGTTCCGAAGACGTTTTCTCCCTTTCCACGGTTTCAAAGGTCAGGCGGACAGCGATGCCGATCTGCTTCTGCAGGAGGAGGAGGAGGCATGAGACACCTCTTTGGGGGAGGCCCTGGCCTGGGAGGTTCAACTCATCCCAGTTTGCCAGGGACTGTTCTGGGTCTGGCACTGAATGTCCCCTTGTCCCGGGCCTCCGGGGCCTGGCTGCTCTCAGACAGAGGGGTGTCCTACCCCGATAGCGGCTGTCCCTGAGGTGCCATCAACGATAAGATGAGAGAACAAAACAGATGTTCTACCTGACGGACATTTTTGCTCCTTAGCATCCACAGAATACTGCAGAACCTTCTTAGAGCCACGCCCGAGGGGGGAAGTTTGCTTACACACATTCTTGGGGACGAGGCACAAACGGGGTGGCTTGTGACTCTCTCCTTTCGGCCTTGTGATTTTATTCTGGGTCGAGCGAGCACGGCTGTTACCATTTTCAGACATGCTGAGTGCAAGGCCAGGTACAAATGCACGTAGGAGGCGGCAGGCTCCTTGTGACGGCCAGTCACCTTGAGACCGCCCCCAAGGGAGGCCCATCCGGAGGGCAGGTGGGTGAGGGCGAAGGCAGGCTCACCTTGTCCTGAGGGTTACTGCCTCGGATCCAGCAGGCTGGCTTCCCACAGAACAGCAGAGAAGGGCCGAGAATAGGCATGGGGGCTGCCTCCGGGTAATGGGTCCGTAAATCGCTGTAAGGAAAACCAATGGCGCGTTTCCCCCGAGGCTGCCATCGTCTTGTCACATGGAGCCCCCAGCAGTGGCTGCCAGCTCTGCCCTCCCCCGGGGCATCATCAGCTCCCCCCGGAGCTCGGCCTTGTCCGGCTCCCTTCCTGCCGGCGGGAGGTTCTTGGACACACAGTGCTGCTTGTCACCGGGGCACTCCGTGAGCACAGCCGGAGCGCCCCCTTACCAGCGAAGGAATGTCTGGGAAACCCCATTAGGAGCTGGCTGCTAGGAGGGAGCAGATGGCCACGGGGAAGCGAGCACAGGTGCTGGAATGGGCTAGAGGGGGGAGCGGCAGCGTCGGGGGGAAGCCCCGCTCCCCAACCTCTCTCCCCAGGGCCCAGGCCGACTCACGCGCTCCTTATGTCTCCAGAGGAACTTCTCTGGCTCTTTTCAAACACTAAAAAGTCTTTCACTGTAACCGTTGAGAAAGGCTGCCCTCTGCCCACCACCTCCAGGCCATCAATATCCTCAGAGAGACCAAGACAGGAAAGATGAGCTGACTGAAGACAGGTGCCCCCCTCAGGGGCCTCGGACAGGGCCCGGAGACAGGACCAACCTGCTGGCTGAAGCCCAGGTTCGCCATGATGTGCTGCAGCTCCTTGCGTCGGTAGATCAGGAACAGACTCCGATCCCAGGTGTAGCGGTACCGCGCATCCTTCCGGGCCAGCAATCCTGCCGCAGGGTCCGAGGACCCTCAGTGCAGGCCGCTGCCGTGTCCCCTTCCCCTCAGTCTCAAGAGCTTTGAACACACCCATCCCAGCACCATTTCTGGGAAATGGGGTGAGGCGGGTTTCGGGGGGTGGGGAGATACGGCTTCCCTGTGCAGCTGGGCTCCAGTCCTCCTGCCCCATTCCTACGCCTTGGCCACCCTACACAGGACTCCTGCAGAATGAGCTCCCAAACCACCACATCTCCGGATGATAATGCATAAAAACAACAGCAGCTACTTTTACTGAGTGTTTAGCAGTGGGCCAGAACCTCTTAATAAACACCATGCTTCATTTTACCCTCTCACAACCTCGCCAGTGTTTCACAGATGTGGACACGGGGGCCAGAGAGGCCAAAGAGCTTGCTCTGAACGCAGGGACCCTGGCAGCCCTTCATGCAGCGCTACCCAACAGAAATAGCACCAAGCCCCAAATGAGAGGCATGTAATTTAAAACTGCCTAGATTAGTGGTCGGCAAACTGCGGCTCGCGAGCCACAGGCGGCTCTTTGGCCCCTTGAGTGTGGCTCGGTATTTTGTGGAAGAGCCACACTCAAGGGGCCAAAGAGCCGCATGTGGCTCGCGAGCCGCAGTTTGCCGACCACTGGCCTAGATGGTTGGAAAAGGTAAACAGAAAGAGGGGGAATTCATTTCCGTTTAACCCAATGCATCAAAAATATTATCATTTCAACACGTAATCCGTATTAAAATTATTAATAAGACTAGCCCAGTGCATGAATTCGTGCACGGGTGGGGTTCCTTGGCCTGGCCAGCGATCGGGGCCAATCGGGGCCGCGGGAGGTTGTCCGGCTTGGGGGAGGGGCTGCAGGAGGTTGGCCAGCTGACCCAATCAGGGCCATCGGGCCAGCCGGCCAGGGAAGGGGGAGGGGCCGTGGAAGGTTGGCTGTGGGAGAGCACTGACCACCAGGGGGCAGCTCCTGTGTTGAGTGTCTGGCCCCTGGTGGTCAGTGTGCATCATAGCGACCTGTTGACCAGTTGTTCGGTCATTCGGTTGCTTAGGCTTTTATATATATAGATAGATATTTCTCGTATGAATCAGTGCATAGTTTATACTTACATCTCATTCCATGTGCTCAGCGGCCACAGTGGTTCACGGCTGCCAGGCTGCCGCACAGCCCTGGAGCCTCCTTCTCACTCCCTTCCGCCCCCTCTTCCATCTATCACTGTCTAACTGAAGTGGGGACTGGACCTCCAGAGGGTTAGGGGACTTGATCCCCAGTCGGTCCCATTCCAGGGCCACACTGTCTGCCTCCGCCCCCCCCCCCCCCCCCCCCCACCCCCCCCCCCCCCC